GGGAGAGGGTATAGGTTGGTGTGGGTGTGGGGAGAGGGTATGGGTTGATGTGGACGTGGTTGCGGCAATGGCTGTGTCTGTGGGTGTGGGGAGAGGGTGTGGGTGTGGGTGGCGGGGTTCTTCAATCTTAATTAGCACCCATACCCATACCCACACCCACACCTACACCCACACCCACACCCCCACACCCACACCCCAATTGAAAGTAAGACGGCATTGTTAGAATGATTTTAATTAAACAGTGGATAAATGTTTCACCATAGTCAGTTAATCTTAATGTGTGTCTATCAGATACCCCTCTCTCCTTCGAAGTTCGTAATAGACATTATTATAAATAAATATAATTTCGTTCTTTTTTTTTCATTTATTTGCATTATAGAATGTTTATTCATTCATTCTACAGGCTTGCTGTTGAGATGCGAGGCAATGGTTACACAAACAGTTTGCATTTCTTTTATTGATTATTGACAGTAATCGTAGAAACGAGCATGAGTCATCTGAGATTAATATATCTGTCCCCTATTAAGAGAAAATCTTTATTATTGTTTATCATTTGTACTTGTTATTGAAGCTCAAGAATTTCAGCATACATAATTTACAATTTTTTTCAGCGAAAAGTATTGAGAGCCACCTCATACCATCACTTCAGAACAAACATGAGAATGAATAATTCAAAGTTTGTTTTTTATTAATTTTTTCGCAGTGAGAGAATTTTTCTCTCTATATGTATATATTTCTCTGTATGTGTAGCTGATGCCAGAGACGACGATTGCAACGGTAGGTTTCATGTCTCTTGGCAAGCAGAGAACATTGCTTATATCTACAACAAATGAATGGAGAACACGGACGCAAACAATTCGAAATTTAAGTTTTTTTTCTTGTTTCTCTAAGGTATTGGTGTAGTTATATATATTCGTTTTTGGATTATACATGGGAGTCACTATAATGAGTTCGTTTTGAGCTACGAAAATTTATGAGAAGTTTATTTATTCGTTGAGAACTTATTCTATATAATAATTATGAAAGAACTGTATAGGTTTGTCTAAACGTGCTAGGAAACTTATCGAAGAGTCCTCATAGATTCCAACGGGAATACATTTTGGTAACTATTGAGCTTCCATAAAAAACAAAAATTCTCAATAGTTGTCTCTTTTTAACCTTAAGCCTCTATCTTAGCCATTCGAACATATTGAAACAAGCTTCTGATTGCAATTTTCCATAATATTAAGTATAATGAAGACTTATTCTTGGCTATGATAAAAATAAAGTGATTCGATATGATCGGAATTCATTTTATTTCATCTCTTCAGAGCAATAAGCCTTATTCCCATTTCGATTTTTGGCCACGAATATGGAGAAAAATGGCCACATATTATCTCATTTGTTGCTAAGAGCGGCTTCTTCTTTTTCATCTATTTATCACTTACTTTCTTTGTCTCCTCGCTTCTATTGAAAACCTAAATATCATTGATACAAAACTTGTTTATCATTTGAATTGATTTAGAATAGAAAAAAAAATAAAAACAATTATGAATCTGCAATCAGAGATTATTTTATAATAATAATGCAGATTATAATTTTCATTATATTCTTATTGTCAAAATAAAACACAAATGATAGTAAATTCAATTATTTTCTTTTCATTAATTAGATTCTATAAATCAATAGCATAATTTCTCTTTTGTTTAACTTTTATGATATTTTAGTGATATTCATGAATATATCTTGGTTTTGTTTTTTTTGTTTCGAATTACTTGTAATAGTCAATGAGTAGAGATTAATAGTAAAAGAAAAAAGGATTCTATATCGAAAACAAAAGTAAAATCATCATTAATTGCGTTTAATGTAAAACTATAAAGTTATAATTAATGATTGCTAGACAGACAAAACTTGACCTTACTTATTAATCTAATAAATAAGACGAAAAAAATGAATATTTTTTTGAAATATAATTTGTCACAACATAATATGTCTGTACTTTGTGTTTGTTTTTCTATGATTATGTCAAAAGGTGAAGGTTTGGTCAAATAGTATCTTTCTATTGTCTATCATGAAAAAAAAACAAAATGTGATTACTTTATCAAGAGAAGAATACATTATTTTCAATTTTTGAAAAAAAGGAGTTTCATGATGATTAATCGAAAAAAAAAATTATTTTTAATAGTTGCCTACCGAAAGCTCAAAAAAAAAAACGTTGCTGATTTATCAATATTTATTGATTAAAGGAGAAAGACATATTTTTTTCAAGGTTGACTTCATATAGATGAAGTGCACGTGGCGAGACAATGACGTATTTTGTCTCGCTCTTTTAATCTATTCTAGTATATAAACTGTCGTTATAATCTGGTGAAACATACACATCTCGACAATAATCAATCAATAGCTGTTAAAATCAAAATGCCTGTTATAACAAATACAATGAATAGTGTTTTGGGGCGTACAAATAAAATAAAATCAGAAAAGCGAACTTTTCGTCGTAAGCTTAATTTAATTTAATTTAATTTAATTCTTGTTTATGAATTCAAATAAAATAGAACCTCCAGTAAGTACAGGAATTCGATGTTATCCACTTCGTATTGGTCCTGGTGTTGAATTACTTTCAACAATTCATGATTTAATGGAAAATATTGGTGTAAAATCATTATTTATTTTAAGTTGTGTTGGAAATTTTTCAGAATGTTTATTAAATTGTGGTCAATTAAACAACAAAGAATGTGATATTGTATCTTTAAATGGAACATTTGATCAAGAATCTGATCACATAATGGGTTCATTTGCTGATTCTGAAACAGGTGCATTAATTGGTGGTCGAGTTCGTTCTCTTACTATTCATAGAACATGTGAATTAATGTTAGCTGAACCCCTTGATTGTATATTTTTCCGAGAATTTGATCCAAGAACTGGAGAAAATGAATTGAATGTTATACGTAAACGTGCTACTGACGGATAAAAAAAAGCATTTTCTGTTTATGTATAATTTTAAATTTACAACATTTTCTTTCTTTTTTCTTGTTAGAAAAATAAAATATATAATTTGACTTACATAAATCGATTTGTTTTTATTAAACGAATTAATTGATTGTTTTCGTATTATTATTATTTATATCAGTTTTTTTAATGATAAAAATACTGCTATTTAGGACGAATAGGTGTCAAAAGATCGAAAGTCAAAACGTCGAAAGTTAAAATATCGAAGAGGCAAAACATCGAAGAGGCAAAATATCGAAAGTGAAAAAGTCGAAGAGAAAAATCTCGAAAGTACAAAATGTCGAAAATTTTCTAATCAGTACCAAAGAAAAAAAGATTCATACACATACCATACTTGCACTCTTACATTATTGTTGATAAATTTCGCCATAAGGGCATATGCATTTATGTAAATTTTTTCTTGCTTTCGTCGCGGCCTCAACTAGCGTCTTTTTTTTCGCTCATTATCTATTTTTTTCTTATTATCCGTCCATATATATCTCTTTCCAACGATGTATGTGGACATTTAATCATTTATCGTGTTGTAATACATAATGAAGAGTGGAAAAAATAAAAATAGGTCGAAAAAAGTGTGCGCGATGCAAGACAGGCTTAATGCACTTACAAGTCGATTCGACAATCAAGAAATTGATGTTCAAGAATATTTACAAGGTTTATATTTGTCTTTCTTTGTTGCAAAAAATGTGAAAAGTAAAAATTAAATTCTTCATTGTATCTGCACTTTTACTGTTTTTTCTTGTGTATTTGAATTATAATATAACAATTTTTTTTCATCTGTTTTGCTTCCTCTTGTGTTCAACAAGAATGCAAAATCTATATCTTCTTCTATTTAACAGACGTAAAATAATAGACAATGCACTATTAGAAAATTTCGTAATACTCTCATTCATATTCAACATTTTCGATCTTTTGCTTTTCGACATTTTCTTTTCGACATTTTTACATTTCGACATTTTGTACATTCGACATTTTATTTTCGACATTTTTGGATTTTCGACGTTTTACCCTTTCGACATTTTGACTCTTCGATGTTTTTTTTTCGACATTTTTTCTTCGATATTTTGCCCTTCGACGTTTTGACTTTCAGTCTTTTGACACTTTACCTTAAACATGATCTATATTTGTGTAGAACATCGAACACATTACAGAAACTAAAATTTGTAACAATATTTTCAATTGTCATTATTCATCTTGTTGTAATATCGTAACCTGTCATATTATAATAGACGAATAATCAAGGTTAGAATCTTCATTCTATTGAAATTTATCTTGAAAAAATTCATTTTTGTCAATTATCATTTAAAAATGTTATATCAGAGAATAAAATTATATTCAATAGATCAATGTTTTATTTTAAAAATATTCAGTTTGAAAAAACATTATTTGATACAACTTTGACATATCTATTCATAAAAATTGATAATTAATTAGAGTAATCCCAAAACAGTGACAGGAATACTTTATTTTTGTATAACGATTGGAGGAATTTTTTTGATGGTGACAGAAATACTTGATCCCTCTTCAACTAATATCAGAAGAATAAAACATCGATAAAAGCAGTTTTTTGTATGAAACTTGATGATACGCTTAGATGATATTATCATCCACGTGTACTCTGTTTTTTTTTGTTCGTTGTTCTTTTCTCTTTTTTTTTTGACTTTTTTCTCGTCTCTTCTCATGCTTCACTGACTATGTTTACTAAAATGTACACAAGGTAATGAGGACAGAACAAACAAAAAAAAAAATATCGAAAGAAGTTCAACAAAATTTTATTTCGACGAAAATTCGAAACAATCACTTTCCTATTACGCTCGTTCCATCCAC